ACATCATTTTCAGGTACAGGTAGCATGCCACCTCCAAGAACATAGCTTGGGAGGCAAGAGGCAGTCAGGCTTATGTCGTTTTGTGATCTTTTGGATGTATTACATGTAAATTCAAGCCAAGGGTTTAATGTGTAGTTGAGTTAGTACTCTCTTTTTGTAACCAAGTGTTAACTTGGAAAGCTGTAAGCCCGTAGGGCATTTGCTTTTGTTGTTAACATGTAACACTCATTGTAAAGAACTATTCTGATGAATAGAAGAATATTTATCTTTATACCAATGCATTTCTAAATTGATGGGTTTTAATGTTATTATTTTGAGGGCGTTACAATCTGCTTCTGGGTAGCTGAACCAGCGGCTGTGCCATTCGCCTGGGGTACCACCGGAGGCACCTAGATCGGAGCTTGATTCCCAGGGAACGGATTAGGCAGCAGGTTTAGGGCTGCTATAAGTAGAGGTACTTGCACTGGAGCTGGCCTAGAAGCCATGGACATAATAGCCTCAGTGAGAGTTTGCAAAGCTGCCAGGATCTCCCTCTGCGTATCCTAGAGTGACTGAATTGCCTCAATCGCAACATTATGGTCATGGTCCTCCGCATGTGCTGCTCCACCATTGGAAGAGCCTTGCTGCCGTAGGGGTTGCTGAAACTCATCTTTTGCCATCTTTTCAAGCGAAGTGTGTAAGCCACTGCGGGTATGAACCATCAACAAAGTAGCCTCCCCAGTGGTGTCGCCAGAAATGTAGGGGGGTTCAAGGTTAGAGAGGTGATTAGAGAAGCAAAACTACGCTAATGGTCCAATAATGACAGAAGTGGCTGGAGAATGAGTAGCAGCAACTGTGTGGGAGTTGGAGAGTGTATAGTTGGGTGAAGGTGAAGCAAGTGGCTCAAGAAAAAGACAATGGCAGTGCCAAAATGGGCAGCATCTCCCCTAAATCCCTAAAACTCTTCCTGTTGAACCTTGGGAAATGGGTCCTATTTATAAACTTTTTCTTGGTGCCAAGAGGACTCCAAGTGGCCAAATGAGAGAAGACATGTGTCCTAGAGAATCACATGGAATATTCTGCCTTGAGCCACCAAGCTGAAGGTTCCACGTGTCCTTCTGCATGTACTATGTACTATCTATTTGCCTCTGCAACTACCTTTTTTGAATCTCGGCAAGTGTAGTTGTGATGAGAGTGTTTGGCACTGCAACTCCCTTTTGAGCCTCAGGAAGTGCAGTTGCAGTAGGAGTGCTTACCTCTGCACTTGTCTCCTCAGCTTGAACATCAGCAAATGCACTTGCAGCGGTGAACCATGCCGCTGCACTTGCCTTCTCAGTTCTATTTGGCCAGTACATGCACTCTCAGGACTCCATAGCCTGCTATCAGCCATGTTCGTGTTCACCTCAGCGAAACCTGCAACCTTAGCCACCTAACCATAAACTCTCAAGCTTCCCAGGTCGAAGGCCACAGCCAAGCCTACTATCAGCCATGTTGTGCCTTAGTGCCAAGCCTAAGGGGGCTTCCTTAGGCCTGCATGTAGGACTAAGGCAGGTCCATGACCTGGGTAATGGAAAGGGAGTCCCTTTTGTTCAGGCTACCCTGCTCCCATCTTCGCGGGATTGCCGCAACAAACTAGTATCTCTAGGCATGTTATCAATGCCAGGTTAATAAACTTTGGGACCTGCTATTAGCCCTAGGCTAGTAATGGCTTGGGGCTTGCTATCAGTACCAAACATTAGCCTTTACTTGCAGAGGGAGACCTCTCTCAAAGGCTGCTATCACCTTGGCAGGATATTCCCTCTGCAACTTAGTTGTTGCGGTAGTAGTTGCTGCAGTAGTCATTTCCCGTGGCAAATTCAGACGGCAGGACCGAAGATATTAGAGATGGCAGCGCTAACAGAATGCCTTCGCAACTTGGGTGTTGCAAGTATTGTCTCTGCAACTTAGTTGCTTCAGTTTTCTCTTTCCGTCAACTCTGGATGGTTGTGGTACCAACATTACTGGGAATGGCGGCGGTACCGAAGATACTTGGAATGGCGGTGCTGAGACAAAGTGACTCCGCAACTTGACCTCTGCAACTTGGCCATCACAAGTGTTGCCTCTGCCACTTAGTTGCGTCAGCTTTCTTTTTCCCTCAGCAACTTCAGATGGTGGCGGGACTGAAAATATTAGGAATGACGGCGCTGAGGCAAAATGCCTCAACAACTTTACCGCTACACATGTTCCCTCCGCAACTTGACTTGGGCATTTTTCTTTGTGGAGTCCATCTGAAGCCCTGGTGGGTCGGAACTGCCTCGCCCTGCTGTTGGCCCACTTCCCTTGGGTTTTGGCCCATGCTCCTTTTTTATCTTTGGTCACCTCTTTGAGACGACCTCAATGCTTAGGTCCATACTTAGTTTGAGGCTTAATTGCTGACCTTCTACAATACCCAACTGGAGAATATGCAATCCTTATTTTAAATTGATAAAATATGTATATTTCTTTCATTTTTATTGAACCAAATAAGAAAATGAGTATTATGGCAGAATGATTATTCTAAGTTAACTTCCTTTTAGTGGATCAAAGATTGTCTAAAAAAGTATTAAGAATATATATAAAATAATGATGAAATGAAACTGATTTACAAACAACTTTTTTATGCAGAAAATATATTTAGGATGATGGGACAATAATGTTCTTACAATTACGAGACACAATAATAAGCATTTTAACTTAAAATATAATATTAAGAAAATGTCATGTCATGCCATATAAAATTTTATATAGAGATAAATAATTACAAAAAAAAAAGTGAGTAATTATGGTTGTGTTTGGTTTAATTTTAAAATTGTGAATCTCTTTTTAGAGTTGTAATTTAAATATAGAATTTGTGAGTTGAGTTTTGAAAAGAAAAAATTTGTTTGGTTATGAGTTTTAAAAAGAACTTTTTGAATTTTAAATTTTTAAAAGAGCGGATAAGGTCTACCCGGTTGTCCGCCCAAACATCCTCTCGAACATCCAACTAGTTGACCAGCCAACTGACTAGAACAGTGCAAATTTATTTTTTTTTTACAATTGCAACCTGTTATTTGAAATATATATATATATATATATTTGTTTTAGGTATTTTTTAAATGTAGAAATTATTTTTTTTAGACTTTTTATAAAAATAATTTAACATTCATATCACTAATCATCTTTAACACTATATCATCAAAAAGAATTTTTATATTGAGTTTTGAATTGAGTTTTGAGTTGTGTGTTTGGTTATGAGTTTTGAAATTAATTTTCAAATTGAGTTTTGAATAATTTCGAGTTGTGTGTTTAGTTATGAATTTTGAAAAGTGATTTGAAAATTTTAAATTTAGAATCATGATTCCAAAAGTAAACCAAACACAGCCATATGTTTTATTCATAAGATTTCTTGCAACACGCATTAATTAGACCACCATATAGGTGAATAATGGTGAATTACACTAAACAATTTCTATAGTTTGGCGCTTGTGTCACTTTAGTACCTTACTTTTAAATTGTAATACATTTGACCATAAATTTTGAATCTCGTTTTAAATATAGACAATTGAAGACATTGTTGCTCCATTTCAAGGGCAAAGTCGTCAATTTGATAAAATATAAATTAGTTTGATAAAAATAAATATCAAAAAAGTATTTTTAAATTTTAAAATTATTTCTACTCACCAAAGATGAAATTATATAAAAATAATAAATCTTTTACGTTTTTATTTTTTAACCAAATTAATTTTTAGTATATGTTTGAATGATGATCATTTAATGGGTGATTGTTTTTGTTGATATTTTTTTATGGTTATCATGTAATATGTGATTGTATTTGTTATTAACAGATATTTTTAATGATTATCATTTAATTGATGGTTATTAGGCTTTTAATGTATAATCGATATGTTTAATATGAAATGTTTTTAGTTTTAGATTTTTTGATTTAATGAATTAGTCTAACAATGATATCAAAGTTGTCACCGTGTTTGATTTTTGAAAAAATAAAAACTAATTTAACGAAAATAAATATTAAAAAATTATTTCTACCTTCCCAAAAGATAAAATTATATAAAAATAATGTGTTTTTAATTTATTTATTTTTACCAATTTAATTTTTAATTTCTTAGAAAAAATTTCTGAAAATAAATTCTAAAAACCAAATTAAACAGAACTTCATAACAAAAAAAAATTCCAAAATTATTTATTAAAAAACAAAGCCATTATATTTCAAACAACATACAAGCTAACCAACATAAAATAATTTGTATGACGATTTTGCCCTTCAAATGGAGCAACAATGTCTTCAATTGTCTTTATTTGGATCGAGATTTAAAATTCAAGATCAAATGTATCACAATTAAAATGTTAGGGACCAAAATGATACAAGTCCCAAACTATAGAGACTATTAATATAATTCGCCGTGAAAATAATGAGTCTTTCATTTTAATTTATTTTTCCTCTAAACTAGTTTTTGAAAATAAATTAAAATAAATCATAAAAACTTAACCAAATAGAGTGTTTCACAATATTTGGGTGTTCTTTAGGTAATTTGGTCCAGCACAAAAACAATCACTTAAATTCTTCAATTAAACAGTGTCCATGTAGTTATATTATATAGTATTTTAACACAACCTATAATATTATTTTTCAGTTATTATGCCAATAAAAATTGATATTCTAGTGCAATTTTTTTTTCTTCTTTTTCCACAATTTTTGTTAGGGTATGTTTGCCCCATCCGAGGTGGAGTCAATATTAAGGGTGTAAATAGATGGACAAATATGGAATTTTATTTTTGAATAAAATGTCGAGTTTTCACAATTTTGGTGTTCATCCTAGACTGGGACTTATATATCCTGTCTTTTGAGAATTCCACATTAACTATGTCAACAAATAGCAAGAGACATTTTAAAAATTAAAAATTAAAAAAAAATAAAAAAAGAAGAAGAAGAAGAAGAAGAAGAAGAAGAAGAAGAATGATAACATAAAACTAAATGAATATATGACCCTAAAATCAAGAACTAGTTTGTCACTTAATATGCAATAGTACATGAGATCTATTGTTTTATTTATAACACACATTGACAAATTAGAGCTTAAGAACAGTTTTTCATACAATCCGATCACATAATCAGATACAATCCTCCTATATAAAATGAGATTAATACATTTCATTAGTTCCACATTATATTAGAGAATTGTGTGCAATTTTGTATCACAGGTAAAAAGATTTCAACTAACAAACTCCCTTTGTCTTACCACCCATAACTTGCACTTCCTTAACAACAATTTCAGGCTTGTATTGCTTCCAATGTATTCCCATTGCAGGAATATGCAAAGTCCCCTTCTCTTCACCCCTCTCTTCATCACTTTCCTTCACTTCCACAGTAAATGCTATCCTTGGCACAGCAGGCCGTACCAGTTGATCTGCAAGCTCAGACGTTGCATTTGTTATGTGAAAAACCAATTTCTCAATAAGTTGTCGGCTCAAATCTTCGCGCACGACAACACGAAGGACTGTCATGTGCTCGACATTGGCAGGCATGGTGTAGGCCGGCACGATCCAACCATGGTGTCTTAAAGCTTTTGAGAGCTCAAATGGCAATCTCTTGTTGTGGGGGTCTTTGAGTGTGAAGGCTACAAGGGGTATGCCTTTTTGTTTTGAAATGATGTCAAAATGCCCGGTTTTTTCTAAGGCTTTTTGAAGCAGTTTTGCGTTTTCCGTGCAATTGGCTATGACTTTCTTGTAACCCTACATCACATTGTATTCATTGTGTAAAACTTATTTGATATAAATAAAGATACGTTAACAAAGATTCACTATGTAACTATATAAGATTATATGACAAACTAACTCATTTAAAAATTTCAGCTGAGAGAGCAGTAATTTTATTATTATATTATATTCCTAACAAACATATGTTAGAAAAATTGATTGGCAGATATGTTTTCAGAAAAAACTTTGGGAGCCCGAAAACTGAAGTTTCTCCAAAGAGTGAGGAATTTAATAATAATCATTGGTGAGAACAAAATCACAGAAAGATAGATAGAAAAATCAATGTGTGGCCAGGCACATACATTTATTTTGAGTCTGGTCTCATCATATTGAATAAATAAGAACTGCATATTAATTTTTTTATGCATGTAAGTTATTAATTTAACAAGGATGAGTTTTACCTCCATGCCCATGCGTAAAAATTGATAGTATTGAGCTACAATCTGACTTGATCCTGCATTATCCAACCAAATTCAGATATATATATATATCAAAAAAAAAAAAATGCTTTTTTAAGCAATTATTCACTGTCACATAGTAGGTGTGACAAACAGATTAAGGCTATCCATTTATGTTAATTTTTCCAATTTTTTTGTTTGATGGAATTACTTTGATGCATATATATGTGTATGTACCTTTGGAGAAGTTGAGGGTGAAAGTGGGTTGATCAGCCCCAAGGTAGTTAATGTGGAAGATGAGTTCTTCAGGTAAGTCCTCTTTGCTCCTCCAAATAACCCAACCAACTCCTGCATAAACAAGCCCATACTTGTGTCCACTCACATTGATGCTTTTCACCAATGGCAGCCTGAAATCCCATTCAAGTTCAGGGTATATAAATGGTGCCACAAATCCACCACTAGCTGCATCTACATGGATTGGTGTTTCCCATCTACATATCCAATGAATGAGAGAGAACAAGAAGCAGATTGTAAGCAATTAAATGGCAAGTCCAAAGAAAACCAAAAAGGGCAAATGGTACTTGCAATTTGTCGGTGCTATCAATTTGGTCTGTGTAATTTTTGTTGTATTGATTTTGTTCTTTAATTTTTTATGTTGTGTCAATTTAGTTTAATTGATGGTTAGAGGCGGTTGGGAAAAGTGTAGAGTAAGGGTTTAAAATGTTACGAATGAGGATATATTTGGAATTATATAGGGTATAATTAGATAAAATTTTAAAATTTAAATTTGGAAAGGAGTTTAATGAAAAAGTGGGTGTAATGAGGTAAATTTATGGTGTAAATAGAAGCTCTCATTCAAATTGGAAGTAAACCCTCAATCATTTTGAGAAAAATTATTGGATTATTATGCTTCTTAATCTCAGCCCAAATTCTAAAGAGGCATATTATCAATTGGATTAAATTGTTACAACGTGAAGAATTTAAAAATAAAATCAATACAGCTAAAATTACGAGGACAAAAAACTACTAAAAAACTAAAAATGTAAAGTAATTTAACCAGAAGAAAAAAGGGGATTGTCAATAAATGAGATGAATAATAATAGTGCATTATTCCATATTGCTTAACAAGGCATGTTTTGCATAAGATATAAGTCTCTATTTATAAAGAAATAAGAGTGTCTAACCCAGTTTTCTTGTTCTTCTCAGCTAGAAGATCATTCAAGAGCTTGACATCTTCGAATTCGCCAGTGAGGGTGGAACCAAGGATAGCAGCAACACAAATGGTGCTCTCATCCACCATCTCTACTGCTTTCTTTGGGTCCATCACATAGTAGCCTTCCCTCAATTTTACCTCTTTCAATTCCACATCAAAGTACCTTGCAAATTTCTCCCAACAAACCTATATATCAACAAGATTGAATTCATGTAATTAACCCCATATATAACACCTTGTTAGTGCATATACATTGCTAAATGTCAAAATTAGCATGCCATTGCCATATTATGGCTAGCCCACAATCCAAAATGCCCAAAATTTGGCAGTCTTACTTAGGATTGAACAAAAAAATTCACAAAAACTGTAAGCCAACAATCCAGACTGAACTAAACTATGTGGTTTAGTTTAATTTTTTGAATCAAAAGTGGAGAACCATAGTGTGCAATTTGGTTTACGATTTTATGTTGACCTTCCGATTCAAAATTGAACCGAACTATGTTTGATATAATTTATAGATGTTAGGTATTTTTACAACATATTATACCTGCCGTATTAAATCATATCACTCCATCTTCCTGGTATTTGGACATTGAACTTTGCGTTGTAATTCATGTATTATTTGTGATTAGCAAGGCATAGAATATGCACAAAGGTTTTTTAGCCTTGAACTGTAGCTCCAAAACGTAAGTTAACCGCATTCCAACGGTTTGGTTTGGTAGATTTCATGGTCCTGTTTGGTTCTAAAGTTTTTAGAACCGTAATGCTGTGTTTGGTTGGGGATTTGAGGAGAGATTTGGAAAGGGAAATAGAAAAGGTAGGTGAAATGTGAATAAAACATAATTATATTTCATCTAGTTTCACACACCTTTTCCTTTTCCCTAAACCCTTTTCTTTTTCAAATCCCTCTCCAAATCCCCCAACCAAACACAGCGGAAGGTACTATTTGGTTCTTGATTTACCTCAAAACATATCCAAATCAAATCATGAACCACCCTAATCTTACTCCAATACTTGAGTCATTTTTTTGCATTACCATTATCTCGTCTTTCCAACTACTATTGGATAGCTATATGATACATCTAGTCATTGACAACAATGTCAAATTTTGACAATCTGTCAAAACTTGTGCCAAATTTAACAGCAAGAAAAACAAAACCAAAATTTGGCAACTTCAATGACAGTCCCGTCGGACCACCAAGTTCCTATAATATAGTTATGTCAGCTCAAATAACAGTTCCATTGGGCTGCCCTTAGTATCCATACAACTCGTTGCATTTGACAATTTCGTTTGCTCTATCTATATTGCAATGTTTAGGGAAGGATTTGTCAAAATTGAAAATCAAAGTGACACGAAATGCATACTTTGGCATAATCGGTGTAATTCATTGTAATTTTGTTATTGATTTAAACAATCTGATTTAAGTCAAAATATTTAGATTCAAACTGAAAATTCTAAGAGTCAAATCGACAAAACTAAAATCTAAATTATCAAAAAAATAATACAGAACGTATACTTTAGGGAGCACAAATCTATTTTAGAAAATACCTGAACATTGGCACCAGTAACAATATTAGGCTTGTCAAAGGGTTTTCCCTGAGACTTTCTCTTGTTCTGCCACTTCTTCTTGAAAGCCAGCCCTGCTAACATTATAGCCTCTGATGATCCAACTGTCCCAACTCCAATTGCTTGTTTAGGCTCCCTTAAAGGTGCATTGAACAGATTTGCAATCATATTCACACACCGATTCTGCGAAAACATTTCAATAATCAAAATAAATTAAATATGACAAAACCAAACTTAGATTAGTCTCTTCTTTAACATTACATTTCATTAATCATAGGATTGATGGTAGGTTTGTCAGAATTTTTCATTAATATGACAATTGTTTTTGTTTTGTAAAATTTCATTCGTTGTTGTTCTATCTGTTAAGGCTATATTGCTAACTATTCCATTTAATTGCTTGTGATCAAATTTACTTGAAATTAAGGTTCACCAAATTATCATTTTTATCTGATAAATCCAGATTCATTTTAGTTTTTTTCCATGAAACATTTGGTATTAAAGTCACTCTGGGATTGAATGAGGTTGAAACCCTCCTAGTTTCATTTCAATTTGGAGAGTCGTTCCCAATTTTTTTTATAAATTGTTAGGTTGATATACATTTGGGACAAAAGAGACACCCTATTTTGACGGGCTATTATAACTAAGAAATTAGTCCAATGAGATATAACATTCTAGCACTCCCTTCATGAGAAACCTCGTCTCACACATAGAGACAAATAGACTAAAAAACAAGATGCACGAAAATAGATAGAATAGATTGTATAATAATAAAGATAAGAGAGGTGACAAGACTTGAACTCGAAATCTTCTACAACCATAACTCTAATATCATATTAACTTTTGTAACCATTTCCTAATAGCTTAAACTTTTGAATAATTTATAACTTAGTGCAAAAATAGTTTTAAAAAATTTAGAAAAATATTTTAGAAGAAGTCTTTCCTAGAAATTTTGTGCTTTCAAAACTTTTCTACAAACAATTTTCAAAAACAATTTGTCCAATAACTTTTCTATATTAATTTATGTTTTTTGTTTTCAATAACAGAAAAATATGCTTTTTCTTTCTTTCTTTCTTTCTTTCATTTTTTGGTTGAGAAAAACAGGATGATTGTTGCTCAACAATATCAGCAATCTCATCCAATGGCCTTGTGTCCTAGTGCCATGACAGTAGAACTAAAGTGTTTTTAAGGGAGAGATTGGGGATTCAATTCCTCCAAAAACTAACAGCTAACAAACCAATAATATATATATATATATATAGAGAGAGAGAGAGAGAGAGAGAGAAACTAATAATTGGGGAATTGAAAATAAGAAAGGATTGGATTGTAATTTAATTACCTGAAGCTCAGTGGTAATGGGGTACTCATCCATGTCAACATAATTTTTGTTAATGGATTCAATCATCAACTTATCACACTCTGGTTCCATCCATGTGGTTACAAATGAAGCCAAGTTAAGCCTTGGATTACCATCTAATTGCAATTCATCATGTATTATTTGATATGCCACTTCCCTTGGTATTGAATTCTCTCCCATCTTATACCTGAATTAAACCATTGAACAACCAAATTGCTCAAAAAACAAATAAAAAATAATAATAAAAACTTTATAACTTGACTCAAATTTCTATTTGATATGTATTATTTCTATTTTAACAATACTAACTCTAAATTTTCAATTCAATTGAGTCCTACTGTTCAAAGTGGACGTCAAAATTCACAATTTCTTAGCACACATCTCTCACAAAGAATTAAACGGTAGGACCAAATTGAAATTGGGTTTAAGGCTTAGAGTTAACATTGTTCAAATTGAAATAATATAAACCAAAATAAATTTTGAATCAAATTTAAAAAAAAAAACTTTAATTTATCCTTAAAATAATTACTAATAACTAGAGTTGGCTCTGATATTTTTTGAACCCAAAGTGAATTTTAAGTAAGGATATATATTATATATAAAAAATTAGGATTATGTATGCTTAACCATCACAAATCAAATATTCAATGGAAAAAGAAACACAAAAACAAAAACAAAAACCATGTAATCATAACCCAAAAAAAAATGTATAATAACAATCAAATAAATATTTAAGTAAGCAAAAACATGATGAACTCGCATCCATAATAGAGTCTATAACTTGAAACTCTATTTTTATATTACAAATATGAGACTTTGCATCATAATTTAGTAATTAAAAAGAGGATTTTGGGCCTCTTAAATTGAGAATGGGTCTTTTTATAAGAAACTTTAAATTTAAAATAAGTGGGCCTTTCTAATGAACTAGTACAAAAGACAACATAATTCTGGGGCTCTCTTTTAAAACAACTTTAGGTCCATAACGATTGCTTTATGGGTTTGCCCTAAAGACAAGTTTGCTAATAACAAGTAATGGCAAAGCACCGGATGCTGCATTTGGTTGGGAAATTTGGAGAATAATTTGAAAAAAAAAAGAAAGAGAAAATATGTGTGAAATAAAGTAAAATATAAGTATATTTTATTCACATTTCATCTACGTTTTTCATTTTCCTTTCCAAATCTCTACTTCAATTCCCCAACTAAACACAGCACGGGGTCAACCAATCCCAAAACTCGAATTCGAGCCCAGGATTCCTTTCCCTCCCCAAATTCCTCTAAAAATAAAAATAAATCAATTAGAGCAAATGTTCCAAAATTTGGTCTATAATGTGAGTAGTGAGCATAACCTAGGTAGAGGATCCTGAACATATCTTGATGCAAAGACTGAACTGATAAAGCTGGATGATATTTCTTCTGGGGTTTGAACATTTGAGATAACCATTCTCTCTCTCTCTCTCTCTCTCTCTCTCTCTCCAATTCCTGTTGGGCTTCACCAAATGGGAATAAACTATAAAGGCATAAACATATTCTTTTGTGCTTGACTAGGTGCCTAGCCTTGCTTGACTTGTAAGTGAAGGTTAGAACAATCTTCAAGTCTTTCCATAATTTTCCAGATTTATGTATTCCTTGCTTTTAAAAATAGTGAAGGATTGCTTTACACGACAGTTAAGGAAACTTGTTAAGTAATCTTGGAATTCAGCGCTTAAGGAATCGCAATATAAAAAGTCTCTTATATACCTATTACTTAACAAAATTGTGTCAATATCATCCCATTTGAAATTTTTTTTGCCAAGTCATTAATTGAAAGCACCGAATGGATAACACCATATGATACTTGAATACTATTGAATAATAATCTTAAGAACTACCAATAATATAGGTGAAGAAAATCAATACTTTCATGGCACTCTATTTTGTTTAATTCAAATAGCTTATTGTTTAAACAAAAGTTATTGGGTAAATTACATTCACTTCTCTTGAGATTTGAAAAAAATATAGTTAACCCTACACTTTTGAAATAATTACACAAACCACTTTTTTAGTATGGTTAAAGTAATCAAAATTAATGCCAATGGTGGGTAAACATTAAAATAAACAAAGATAGATACATATAGGCAAATTGCACTTTACCCTTTTAAAGTTTAGCCCATGTGTGTATTACCTCCTTATTTAGAAGAAATTACACAGCCCATTTATGATTTGTGAATTGAAGGTTTAATGAAAAACACTAAAATACTTCTGTATATAAGTAATCTAAGCATATGAACTTCATATATTTTTATCATTTGTTTGGGAAGCAAAATGCACTATAATCTCATGTGTTTTATTTTATGTGCATTTTTTCTCCTTAAAATTTAAAAATGAGTGTATAACCTCCTTATGTTTGACATGTGTTTCACACTTGTTAAGTTGAATGAAATGTTTTTACAGTGCACTCTTCACAAACCACAAGAGGTGATGTGGTTATTTTCAAATGAAAGAAGGTTAATTCACATATGGGTACAAGAGGGTAAAGTGAAATTTGTCCAATATATATTTTTGTAAGAAAGAGACGATAATATAATTTTTTTGCATTCATGCGACTAATGAATTACTGATAAAAGAGGGTCTAAGTGTATGTGAATTAAAATCTTGAGGGCAGTCAGTGTAATTATGTCAAAAACAAAGGACTAAATGTATTTTTTTTTCAAACTTTAGAGGAGATGAATGTAATTTACCCAAAATTAATTGCGTGTAATTTATGTTATTTTTATTGATAAGTAGAATTTACTTTGGCTATAGAGAAAAAATGACAATAATAATACTTTATGATATATGTATTAAATAAATGTATTTAATTGAAATCTATTTAATCCCTAGAAGGATTAAAAAAATAAAATATATGCTCATAAATATTATACATTAGTAAAAGACCCTATCTAGTTAAATTTTTATTTTTAAAAAATCTTAAATTTTTATTCCATCCTTGAAAAGTGGGCAACAATTCTTTTGATAAATTTCCTTTAAAAGGGCAAGGGTAAATATTTAGGGGTTTTTTTTTTAAAGTCCCTAATATTATAATTTTAGGAGATAAAGGACATCCTAAACTTTTATACTACCTCAGGTCCCTCATAAACATACATATTTTCCCTCCAAAATTATTGAACCAAAATATCCTTGCATTTTACATTCAAACGTCTTTCATTTTTTGAAAATTTTCAAAACTTAAAATTCAATAACTTTTGATTAAGGTGTCCATTTTCAACAAAAATTATATTTTTGGAATGCCCTCATCGAAATCTATTAAACAAGATCAATGATGAATATGAAATTAAGAAGAAAAAAAAAATTGACAAAATTTCACTGAATTAGAAATCAACATAATAGTAAATTTCTCTAAATACATTTACAAAAAAAATTCAGAGAAAATCAAATGTGTTAGAGAAATTAACATACAAGTAAATTTCTCTGACTACATTTGCAGATAAACTTCAGGGGAAAAAAAAAATCAAACGTGTAGAGAAAATCAACATGTTAGTCAATTTCTCTTACTACATTTGCAAAGAAAAATCAAATGTGTTAGAAAAAATTAACATGCAAGTAAATTTTTCTGACTACATTTATATAGCAAATTCAAAAAAAATCAACATGATAGAGAAATTTCAAATATAGGTCTAGTGAAATTTTAGATTATAAGTGTGTGATGGCCAAAGAAGATCAATATGACAGAGAAATTTCAGATATAGATTCAAGTGAAATTTCTCTAGTAAAAGTCTAATGAAATTTCAAAAAAATTTCTCTTCACGAATAAATTTCTTTGGTATAGGTCTAGAGAAATTTCAATAGGTTCTTCAAATTCTCTAATATAGGTCCAGAGAAATTTCAGCAAATCCACCAAATTCTCTAGTATATGTCCAGAGAAATTTCTAGTATAGGTCCAGAGAAATTTCTACAGGTTCTTCAAATTCTCTAATATAGGTCCAAAGAAAATTACCTAGTATAGGTCCAATGAAATTTCTATGGTATAGATCTAGAGAAATTTCAGCAGGTCTTTCAAATTCCTCAAGATTCGTGAGTTTATTGTTGTCCATGATCACCCACTCTTCATTCTTCATCGAATAGATCAAGGATCCATCCTCATGGTAGTGGACATGATCAACAGGGTGGATGTGGCCACAAAGGCAGCGAAGAGGGTTCAAAACTTGGCGTCGAAGACATGGACAAGGCCGGCGGTATTGAAATAGTCAACGGAATGAAAGGAGACGAAGGTTGCAGTGTCGAATAATGAGGAGAACGTGGATTTGAGTTCTAGGGTTTGAAAAGAAAAGATTGTGAGGTAGTGAAGAGATCCAAATACGTAGAGAGGAGAGAAAATAAATGGAAAGATGATGCTTAAGTGAGAGCTGACGACGATAATGAAGCGGTCGTCGGAGCGAAAAAAGGCGGATGTGGTAGTGTAAGAGAGTGAGGAGATGGTGGGTTTAGGTTTTAGGGTTTGGAAAGAGAAAGATCAAATAGAAGGATGAGAGAAAGAAGAGAGACCCAAATACGTAGAGAGAGAGAGAGAGAGAGAAAGAAAAGTGAGGGTAAAGTTAGTATTTATTTGAATAAAATAAAAGTAAAAGATGTATAGCGATTCTGGTTTAGACCCGACTTATTTTGTATTTTGGACTTAGGTTTCATGGTTTCGTATTGTTATTCTTGTCTTATTCTTTTTTCCCTCATTAGGTTTGGCTTTTGGGTTGTTTTGGTTGCGTTTAGAACAGGTTGGTAGCTTGGTTTTCAAACTCTTGTTGCCTAGAATTTTACTCCTCTGCTCAAGCGGCACTTCTTGCGCTCGAGCGGGTTTTGTGGACTCTCAGTACTTTTGCAAATCTGCAAAACTACTGGGAGGGTGTATTCTACGCTCGAGCGGTGTTTTTTGTGCTCAAGCGATCTCAACTCGAGCGGCCCTTCTTGAACTTGAGCGTTGGTATGCTATCTACAAAACTACTAGGAATGTGTATTTTGTGCTCGAACGTCACTTCATGCACTCGAGCGATGTCGCCCTTTTTCATTGTGTCTTGACGCTCGAGTGTCACTTCTTGTGATCAAGCGGAACAATTTATTGTGCCTGAACGCTCGAGTGTCACTTCTTGCACTCGAGCGGACTGTGCATATATCAGTTCGTAAAAGTCACTTTTTATATCACTTTTTGATATATCTCTCCCTAAAACTTTTCCAAACCCTAGATCTAGAGTTTCTCTCTCTAAAACTCTCTTTCTCGTTACTTTTTTGCCTAAATTTAGTGGTTTCTCTACCCATGTGTCTTTGTTGAAAAGGTAGAGCATCTCAAGGGCTACATTTTCATCCGATTAGAGTTGGATTTCAACTTCATTTGAGTTCTTCCCTTACTTTGCTCGTCTTCTAGTTTTGAAGTAGGGATTTTCTATACTCATGTATGACTTTTAACATAGTTATGTTTTGTATAAACACTATTGTGAATTTGGAGGATATTGAACAAATCTAGGAATTGGGCTTAAAATCAAAAGAGGGGTTTCCAAATAAATGTATTGAAAATGGGTATGAGAGTGAATATAAGGTTTGCGTTGTAGTAAAATGGTTGATTTTGATACTTGGGTTGGATTTTGGAAGAGAAAGGAGTTTGCCCTAAAGTGTCTCAAAAATTTGTTTTGTACAAATAAATGGAATTGGTTTTGAAAATATGAATTTGAATAGATGCTTATATAAATGGTTGAGTTAGATTCATGGTGAGGTGGCAAACTAGTGAGATCCTCAGGAAAAACATCCGGATATTCACAAACTACCCTCAGCAAAACGACTCACACTTCATCACACTCACTACCCAAGAAGTTGGCAAGAAGGCAACTAAGCTCACTCTGCTCACGCGAATCATACATCGGTGATAAGACTCTATCAACCTAGTCCCCCAAGAAATAAAAACAATCACCGCTCAAGGTACATACAGTAACTCTTTGATGGTAACAATCTATGACAACCTGATAAGATGACAAACAGTCCATACCCAAAATAGCACCAAAACTAGACATGTTAATCAACACAAATGCAAAAGGAAATCAGCGACCGACAACCTCTATGTCACAACTCTGACACCCCTGCTCCAAAATAATCTCACCACCAATAGGTAACTCTATATTGAGAGGGGATGCTAACCGAGCCAACTCTAACCTCAATGCCGATGCAAATGCAAACAAGATAAATGAATAGGATGCACCCATATCAATCAACACATTAGCAATGGAATTGCATAACAAGAAAGTATTTCTTACTACTGAAGGCGCTAGTACTAGGTCTGGTGCGGTAACAGCATACATACGCCCTGTAGGCCTTTGCTCTACCTACTCACCCCTTGGAGCATATGCCTGTTGCACTGACTGAGCCGAAGAGGTGCCCTGATTGGCCTTCGAGGCCTATGCTGACTGTACAGGTTGGTGATTCTGTGTGTGCCTTGAACCAGACGCACCAGGTATGCCACCCAACTATGGGCAAAACCTCTTCATGTGCCCC